TGATTGTTTATTTAACTTAAAAAATAAAATTATTAAATGTTCATAGTTTAAAAAAATTTATCTTGATTTCGGATGTTTCTTAATACATAACAATTTTTTTGACATTGATAGTTTAGATTTATTTGAAAAATAAAATATTTTAAAGTAGATTTTATAAATGAAAGAAAATATTTCAATTGAGACATCAATTTATATCAAAACATTAGATTTTTTTCTTCAAATGTATGCATTTCTTATAAAATATTATTATTATTTTTTGTAATAGTTACTTCTACAAAAAGAAGCTTTTTAAAATTAAAATCAATAAAATCTTATTTAAAATTGACTATCACAAAAAAATAATAATTAGATTAGCGATATCATCAATTAAAAAAATATGATAACAAAATTTAAATATAAAAACTCAATCTATACTTTTACAACTCAAAAAATGAAAAGAATTAATTTTAATCAAAATTTTTAACACTAAAAATAAAAAGGTCTCAAAATAAATTACCGTTTTAGGCTTCAAATTACCTTGAGCCGTTCCTGCTTGACTTGACCCTTGGATAGGTTGAAGCTATTAAACTTACTTTATTTGTTATTAGAGAAAGGGTCAAGCGCTTTTTCATCTTACTGTTCGTTTCCTCTGAGAGAAAGAAGGGGGCTTGACTTCCGGTTGGTTTCCAATCCCTTTGCTTCGCGTCAAGATTGCATATCACCTATGATCAGATCAGTGGGTAACCACAATTGACTTTTTTCGTGGTGTTATTGACATTGTTGGGGCCTTGGATTGCCTGCCAATGGCACTTATCGACTATAAGGCAAATTTCTTTAAGGCGAGTCGTGGACTTAGGCAAGGATGCCCCCTTTAAAACTCCCTGCAACCCTCAAAAAATTCAATTAGAAATTGTTAAACAAAAGAATATTAAAGAACTATATAATTTTGAGAGATGGAAAGTGAAAATTAAAGTATTACCCAAAGTACCTTTTGATTGGATCTAATCTAGATGACATCAATGTCATTACAACCCCAAACAAATTTTGCATCAAATAACATGCACGAAAATCCATTTGTTTTGTCATCAAGGAACAAATTGAAGTAAAGTTGCTCTCATATTAGCAGCACAGAGTTCCATTACGATATTTCTCTCAATTTTCTGCTTTAAATCATCTCTGGGAATCGTGAGAGAAGTGTGTACGGGCGTTGGAGAATTTGAGAGAGAGGGGTGGAGGGGGAGACATGAATAATTGAGAGTCATTTTTCACGGAGGTGAATGAGAGGAAAGTTAGAAGTTGAGAAACGTGAGTTAATTGACCATTATCTATCAGTTTAAAAATATAGTTATCTTTATTTGAAGAGATAGATTAGATTATCAAACAAATTTTGAAAATACCAATATAAATAAGCCAAGTAAATTTTTTTTAAAATTAAGAAGTCAAAAATTCGAAAAAAAAAAAAAAAGGAATTGAACTCTGGGGGCCTCTCCTTGTTTGAAGATACATTCACATATTGTATAGAGATTTCTTTATAAAACTCCTAAATTTTAGCATTTTCTCATATGAAAACTCTTTCTCTATCTCTCTCACACACACAATAGATATAGATTAACATTAAATGAGGGAATGGGTTAGTGAAAATATTTTTTTTGCCGTGAATAAAGGGGATGAGATTATGCGTTTCCTAATCCGGTTACTTAGGCAATTAGAGCATTATTTTGAAGGGTAGTGTAGTTATTTTTCTCACTAGTGGACTTCTTTTCAATATAGTTTTCTTGATGAACTTAAATAGTAATAAGTCTAATTAAGTGTACTAACCTTCCAATGACCCTTGTGTAAAATAAGGTCTTACTCTCAACTTTATAAATAGAAACCTAGGAGAGGAGAACAAAAGAGACCAAGAAAAGGAAGAACAATAGAGTTCTACCCGAGTTCACCCGCATTCAAGTCCTACAAATCCGTCTCTGAGGAGAATGGTACACCATCAGGTCATTTCAAACCATTTTCAAGTCGATCAATACAAAGAACAACGGAAAAATTCAACAAAGTCAACACCAAATCGAATATCAAAATTTGTGTTGATTTGATCCTTGTATTCACCAAATCTACTAAAATCATCACCAAATCAAAAATTGAGAAACACGCTAACTTAGCCATCATCTTTACCAAATCAACTGGGAATTAGAAAATTATGCACATGAGAAATACGTCAAAGAGAGTCAACGTCACTTGGTAACCAAATCAGCTATTGTAACTTCATAATTTTTGTGTAATTGTAACACAAAATTTGTTGTCTATAAAAAATCAACACGTTTGTTATAAATTTTATAATCTTACCATTATAGTTTTAATTGGCTTACAAGTTATTGACTACTCCCATTATACAAAAACCTTGGCAATGCAGCTCTGCCTCTGGGGAAGACACATATTAAAAGGTATTGGACGTCAAAAGAATGTAATAAGCAATAAGCAATAAGCAATAAGCAATAAGCAATAAGCAATCGGCAATAAGCAATAAGCAATAAGAAAGTATTGGACGTCAATGTGCAAATCACATCTCCAATTAATAAAATTATACAAGAAGTGGACAAATCTCGGCGAAATGGTCTAAAACATCAAATCAAAACAAAAAATAACAGTACTGTTGACACCTAATTTAAGGACATTACATCAAATTAAATATGGTAGCATTAGAGAATGACATTTGTTATCAATTCACATGACACAATTAATTACAATTATGCCCTCGCCTCCACTAAAATTGTACACAGACCCAATTAAATATGTGCCACCATATTTTCTCTAAAATGAATAAACAGTAAAATAATTTCTAAGGGGTTCAATTCTATTTTGACTTCTAACTCCCCAAACACCCACACCCACACCCACACCCACACGAGGTGTCTGCTTGCATTTTTGATGCAGCATCCGATTAACATATTCACACCAATACAACAAAAGGGGGACAAAAATCACTTTGATTGGAAAATGCACATGACCCATAACTTATTTTTATAAAAAAAATAAAAATTACAGCAGCTACTCAGGTTACGTAATCAATTTCCTGCAATCTGAATGTACTCAGAAAGACGAGCAAACTGGAACTCCAAAGCCCTGTTAGCTCCAACAATGTTTCTCTTTTTTTTTCTTCACTTTTTTCTTGATGCTGTGTTCACATAAATAATAAGATAGTGAGAACTTGACACGCATGCGCACAGACACACGAGGGAGGGAGACTGGAAAAGTAATAAATAGGTTAAATGAAAAAAGGTGCAACAAAAATAATAGACCGGGCTAGAGAAACTCTAAGATGTAGTCAACAAACTTACCTTGTCCGTCAGTGAAGGAGAGCACCAAAAGATAGGTTTTGCAAGAAGTGTAACAGAATCATCAAAACTGCCTAATAATTATATGGGCAAACTTCACTTTGCCCCTTGTGGTATCCTCAAATACACTTTACCTCGTGTTTTATAAATGTCCACATACCCATCACAAGCTTTGTGTACTAATATGCACCACAAACTCTGTTAACGGAAGTAATAAAAGGACCTTAATACCTTTTCATCACTTTTTCTCCACTTCTCTGTCTTTTTCTTCTCAGTCACCTTCAACCTTCTTTGTCGCCATGACTGACCACGAAAAGCTTCGACACAATGGAGTGAAATCACTTAAAACTTCTGATTGAACTTCAACCCAATGTTACCTGGATCATGGGTCGCTTTGGTACGTGATAGCGTACGGATATGCAATACAACACTTCCTTAGGTATGCGATATGATAAGAATAGGATTAGTTGGTACATTATTTTGGGTAACAATTCGTTTTGGAACTCTTATGTAGATCGTTTTCATCGCTATACCACATTATATATACCATAGAACATACATAAAGACTAAGTCAATTATCATTTATCTTACATTTGTGATTGATTTTTTATTATCTAAAACAATATATAATTATAAATCTATATACACGTAACTAAATAATATGTATTTACTATTTGTGATATGTGTACAATTTGGGATCACACATCTTAGTGATCTAGATCGCGAGCCCACCCCTTTCGTGATTGATGTACCTAGATCCTGAGTCGCTAACAGTTTAGTGAATTCTGGTAACTATGCTTCAACCTACCTTCAATCCAAGTTTTTGACATTTCGGAAAATTCTTTTGAGGGTTCAGTTCCTATGGGCATATGCAAATAACTCGGGCCAACTTTTGTCGATTGATTTCACAGTGAATTATTTCGCTGGGAATTTACCACTGGATTTGGGAATTGTAGTTTTCTGGTCAATTGAGCAGCAGTGAACTCCAACTTCAATTTCAAATTCTTAAATCTTAAATCTCAATTCCTGTGTGAACTCCAATCTTTCTTCCCTTTTGCCATACCCAACAAAATTAAGAAAAGTTACACAGAAAATTCAAAATCAACTCCACCAGCCACCACTGTCAATTGTCAGCGATTCCCCCTGATGGTGGAGGTGAGGGTAGCTTTGTCATTTTAACATATATTTTCACACCAACCCTCCTTGTAGCACGTGGCTCGCAAAATCTGTTAAATTAGACCGAAAATCTAACTTTGCAGTTTAGTCCATTAATCACATGAGGGTTATGTGGAGGTTTTTAAATGTTGAGGGAAAGTCTATTCGGGGCATACCATAGGGAGATAAAATGAAGTTTGCCATAATTATAATTCTAATTTAACTAAATTTGGGCATTACCGCCAAGAACTAAAGGCAGGTCAACTAAAGCAATAGATTGGGATGGATAAGATAATTTTGCTAGTTTGAGATCACATACAAACTTTATTAATCAAGATGGACGAGTAATGCAGATTTAGACCTTTATGATTCCAATGAGTAAAAATCACCTGTCAAGAGGAAGCGAACTCAAACCTGCAAGTACTTACTTCCTAAAAAGAATTTAAAAAAAACACCAGAGGACAAATATAAAAAGGAAGAAGATATGCATGTCAAACCAGTCCAAAGAAATGATGGTGAACACTCACCTAAAAGCTGGGACTATCTTTGATTTGGAAACTCCTGTTTTACAGGGTCAAATTCTTTTAAATTGTTGACCACAGCTTGAACCTTGTTTGATAAATGTTTGCTGTGTTCCTCAACATCTTTCATAAAGGCAATTAATTGCTCTTGATACACTGCACATAACCTTTTCTTATTCCGCAGCTCAGCAGTTAGCTCCTGAATTTTTCTATCCTTCTCATCCTACACACAAAAACAGAAAACCCATACTTGAGCAAATATTTGTCATCAAAACAAATAAGTATCCTAGTGATGATACAAATAGAAGACCTCAAGTACGTTATGTAAGCATGCTGACATAGGTTGGCAAAATCAAAAGTCTAGTCTAGAGGAGTTGAAGGATTAGAAGAATAGACAAGATTCAGTTCTGATACAATACAAATAAATAGAATTCAGTATCCTTTCATTTCTATGTATTTTCATTCATATTCTATACACATGCAGGAACACAAACATGCACACATGAATGCAAAAAACATGTATCAATGCATACTGTATCTGCATTGGTTTTGTTAAGATACATATGTGTGCATCTCTGTGCCCTTATTTATCTTTGAACACATTCATACGTCCATAGACTATAGTGGGACAAAGTCTTTGGCCTCGTCATGAATGAAGTCGTATCGTCATATTGTCTGAGACTACAGAGATACAACCATACCCACAAATGACTTCACAAATTCTTTGTAGACCATGAAAGAACAAGTAATAGGAAGACAATATAACCATGTAAAACTCGTCATCTAACATGAACAGTTAAATGGCCAACAGAAGTGCAACAACCAACCAACCACCAGGCTGATGCGGCTGTGTTCTGTAATATGACACATCATTAACAATAAATAAATTACACAACCCACAGTCCATGCTCATGTGCACTAAAGAGACATCAATCATCATAACCCATCACTTCTTCAGCTCCACCAATGGAGAACCTGCAAAAACTTTCCTAATAAGATTTAGCCCAATTTTTTTGACTAAAAGGCTCAAGAATTGTTTTTGAAAGACTTCACAGTGTTCCTAGAGACAAAAACTGAAGTTTATGGCCCGAAATGATGGACTTTCCGGATTGAGAAGACTTCTTTTTGCAGTTTGTCATGGGTTGTCTTATCTTTGCCCTTACTAAGACTAACCTATATTGTCATAAACCCAAAATTCAGGGGATGTTTAGTAAATAGCCACAATTTTTGATTAATCACCTTCTCGCTCGACGTAAGTGCAAGTATTTGAGATTTCGTTTCCTTCAATCTAAACATAAATTTTGTCATTGTCAGCATATGGTCATGAACAATCTCAATTTTCCTCCTAAAACCTCAAAAATACTATTTCTTTGAATGTACTTTTGTGTTGACCCCCCCCCCCCTCTTCCAAAAAAAAGAAAAAAGAAAAAATACATTTGGTATCTTTCACTCAACTCAACAAAGTGGCACCATGTGAGAACATTCATCTATTCCTTTTTTTCATAATTACGTCATAACAAAATTTAAACTGTGAATTCTCTAAAACCCTACCCTTCCCCCTCCATCCCAATTGTTGCAATATTTTCACCTGCCAAAGTCGCCAGCATGAGAAGCACAAATCCTATCAATGGTGCCATTGAAGGATACCAGAGTTATCACTTACAACAAGGATTAGCCCAAAATTTCCTCTCAGCCCTTAAATCTCAACCGCATCTCCCTATCTGTCTCATTTAAAACCCCTCACTTCAGAAAAGTTCTTTCGTACTTCAAGGGGACCACAGACATGAGTCTGCATAAATACTTTTCCTGAAGCCTAGTCTAGGGCCACATCTCTTGCTAATTATATGCCATATATCTTTTCCAACTCAAGATGCAGATTTTGTGTTCCGACTTCAATGGAATCTACAAGGTTGGGTCATGGGCACAAAAATATCAGGTAAAGGATAAAAGCAAAGAGCCCATATCAGCTTATATACAAGCTTGCAAGAGGTTCCACTTCCACAGAGGAAAATGTCACCATCCAAATCTGCTTCATAAAATATAGGAATAACTACAGAAAGCCTTTCTGTACTTATGGACAGTAACAGATATCTTCATGTACTCCAAACTTTTGCACCAAATCTCCCCAAACTTGTAACCAAAGTGCAAAAGTGACTAATTCTGCCTGTTCTCATGATGAGTGTGATGTGAGCTGTTAGTAGAATAACTAACTACCGTAAATAAGAAAAGTTTACCCTTGACCAAATTTACACAAAAAAAAAAAACCCATGATCAAACCGTGAGACATCCCCATGCCCACACGCGCAATCCTTCCTTCATTCCCACTATATCCGCCTCTCTATTTGTCTCACTCTGTCAACATCTCTCATACACACACACACGTGAAGATACAAACTTTGATTGATACGCTAATATCTCTCTACTTGGAAAATGGCTTTGGAGATTCCCCATTGAGCATAATAGCTTTTGTCATTTTGTGATCAAGAGTAACTATGAGATTCATTCGAATGTGACTGAGAATGCTCTCATTGTCCATGGAAATTCATTTCACAAGGTTTATATCTTTTTTCTAGAAATGTGGCATATGCTGTTAGTAATGAGGAAAAAATCTGGTTTTGGAAAGATGTTTGGAGGGGTGAGTCATCTTTTGCATCCATGTTTCCTCGGTCATATCAGTTATCTAGATCTCATAATTCAACCATTGCTAGCATGATCTCATCCAATTTATCCTCTATAATTTGGAACTTTAACTTCCTCATAAACTTGAATGGTAGAGAACTTATTGAATTGTCCTCATTTTTGGGTTTTCTCTACAATGTCGTTTTTACTCAATTTGTGAATAAAAGAAGGTGGGACTTTTTGTTCTTCGTGTGAGTATTCTTGCAAATTGTTCTTTGAATCCTTGATTGATAAGTCAACTCTTCCATTCTTTGAACCCTCATCTTCCATTTGGACAAGTAAGTCACTCTGCATGGTTGATTGCACATAAGAAACTTAATGCTAATGAACTGCTACAAAAAAGAAGGCCGTCATTTTCTCTTCAAACGCAATGGTGTATCATTTGTAAGAAAGAAGCGGAATGTATGGACTATTTGTTTCTACATTGCTCTTTTGTTTCAAATTTGTGGAATAAACTCTTTGGTATTGGTGGGCTTCCTTGGGTGTTTACAAGAAGTTGGGACTTTTTTTTATTACAAATTTTGATGGCTTGGGTCCCTAATCCAAAGCAAAGACTTTATGGATATGTGCGGTATTGGTTTTGTTGTGGTTAGTATGGTGGGAAAGAAATGAGTGAATTTTTTAAGATAAGGAGGCTCCTTGGGAAGATTTGTGGGAAAGAATCTCTTTTATGACATCTCTTTAGGTGTCTACGTACAAGGACTTTGAAGGGATTCCACTATTTGTAATTGAAGATCTTTGGGCTCGAGTGTGTGATTAAAGCTACCACACAATTCCCTCACTTTTTTTATCGTTTACTTTATTTTTTTGTGTTTCTAGCCTGTTAGGCTTTCTTTTTTCTTCCTTCTTCATGTATCTATTGAAGACTCATTGTCCTCCCATATACTTCTTTATAATATTTTCTCGTTTACTATCAAAAAAAAAAAAAGTTCATAGACATGCAGGCTAATAAGGATGAGGAGAGATTCTTAGATTGAGATTTGACTCATTGTTTCAGGGAAGCAGTATTATTTAAGGTGCACGGAGCATCGAAGTGCTAAGGTCCCCTAGGGTCTGGGCACAAAGCACGAGGCGAAGCAAGGCAAGGTGTGGACTTCATCGAAGTAAGACTCATGTTGCAAATAACAAGCAAATGTTTTAAATCCGCAAATTACTCAACACAGGCAAGGCCATAACTCATAAATGTTCCAAGTCAACAAAAGAAGATCAAGGATATTGAAAACAACAGTACATAAACATTCCAAAAATCATACCATATCTCCTTTATTTCTTTTGGCTGCCATCTATGTCCCTAATTAATCAATTAAACAATTTCATAAATGAAATATTTAATGAATTACTAGCAAACAATCACAAGCAATCTACCAGTTAAGCAACCTAAGGATCCAATTCCAATCAAATAGACAATTAAACAAATTAAGCAATTAAGTAAAGGAATCCAATCAAACATGGTAATACAAAATTAAAAATATTACTATAAAGATTACAAAATCAGAAAAATAACAAAATACCATAGTTAAAATTTGATATTTAAACATGTAACTCTAATCTGGCAAAAATACTATCAAATTCAATAGATCCAACAGCCCAAATAACCATTGAAGGAAAAATACATTTGGGCCTGCCTTGCCTCTGGCTCATTGAGATGCTTTAGGTGCGTCTCATCTTGCCTTGCACCTAGGTGCATTTTTCAAGGCACTGTATGGGTTTCGCTGAAGTCTCTAGAACTTGTCGAGTACATTGATGCAATTGATATTAAGAAATCTCACATTAGTGGGTGTGGCCTATTTGCGTCAAAAAACATTGACAATGGGAACTTCCTGTTGATCCACTCACTATGTTTATACGTATGTAATTCACACACCTCTCATCTGCCTTCATTGAATCTCGAAAAGCTATTTTATTTACCAACTGAAAATCCTCTTTTGATGTCCCAAATACTCACAAAACTTGAGTAAAAGAAGAGTTGAAGAAAATCGTGGATTGTAGCACTGTGCGTTAGACTAGTTGAGGCACTATAAGATTCAGGTTTCTGCTTATGAAACTAAACTATTAGATTCTTCTCTCACACTAATTTGGTTTAGGTGTAATTTTCTGGATAATGAACTAATCGTGGAGAATAATTACCGATGAGTTATTGATGATTTGCTGGGTAATTGAGATGAAAATTCTATCTCTCTCTCTCTCTCTCTCACACACACACACACACACAGACACAGACTCAATTGGAAGAGTTCTAAGGTTTTGCTAATGAAGATGTGCTTGACACATGGGTGGGGTGGAAACTAGGCATTTTTTACGTACATTTGCCATATACGCCACCCACAAGGAGTAAGAGGAGGCAATGGTGTTTGTTATTGTCTGAACAGGGATAGGACGTGGGAGTGGAGGTGATGAAGGCCACGGGGTGTGAGTGGGGGTGATTGGTAGAGAGAGAATTACGAAAAAAACTTTGAAATATTACAATACGTTAAAAAAAATGAAATGAAATAATGAGGATACTTTTGTGGAATCTGTGAGAGACGTCTATGATTGCACAATGAAATGTTCTTTTTTCACGTGATGAATGAGTAAAGTATTTAGACAGCCATAACATATCATCACATTTTAACCATATCTTAATAAACATAAGAGTAGAAAGATCATTCCAGAAACATTTCTGTGGGTAGATGACCAGCTCATAGATCCAAATTCTTGAAAACAAGAAAATTACAGAGACCCGTGATTAACCATGCCAAAGCAATAAAACGATTAAATAGAAAATTCTTAAGAAATAATGGAGATTCCATGATAAAGGCCAAGTTCTCAGAATCAGTTCAAATAACCAACCACTTCAAAACAATCAATTGAAATAACATTGTATGCTTAAGCTATATCCAAAGACTAACCTAGACTATCCATCATATATCTCACCAGCAGAGTAAGAGAAATAGCAACAGGCTCTCTATTTTACTTATTTTATCCAAGAGCACCTTATCAATTATCAAGATGAGCCTATAATTCACATCGTTTGGAGAGGCTCACGGGGCTAGACCCATTGCAGACCACAAACAAAAGCCTTTACTAAACTAAGAAAGGTGGCCTCAAAAAAGCATTTCAAAAGACTTGACCCCCGAAGAGCTGACCCAAGCAAGGGCATTTCAATAGTTGGTCTGTCAAGACCAATTGGGGACTTTCCCAATACTCTTTTTGACCTCAGCTCCGCAACAAACACTAATACAAAGAAGGAGAGCAGACTGGGGGACAAGAAGAGGAAGAAAGTCAAGGATTCATTCATAGATGAGCCCTTGCTTATACTGGAGAGACTTGTGTGATCAATAGAGACAACAATGCCACGGGAAGAGACCCATTCTTTATAAGAGAACGGGAATATGGAATGAACTGATACACTCATTTTGAATCGCTAGATAGAGACAAAAGAGCAACTACAATAGCGATAGATTCCTCCACTCTCTTGTTCTATTAATACCCCCTCGGTTCGAAAGCAATCAATTGAGCAGCTAGCGGCCCCGCGCCTTTCCTTAAAACCTCACTAGTGACGTTCTTTTCCTAAATCGGTCGAGTCAAGCTTCTTTTTTCCTCCTTGTTTTTCGCAATAAAACACCAGAATTAAGTAAATCAAGCAATAGCGTAACAACTCTTGCCTTAGACTAAAATGAAAGACCATAAGGTAAGAAAGGTTTTGAGTAGCTTATGTATGGGTTGGTATCGTCTTAGTTGAGGCCGATAGGATATGCTATTGACCCTTGTTTATCTCGTTTATTTCAATAAAACATCCCGGATACGAGAGCACCCAAAATGGGAGTAATCAAGAATGCATTATTAACTTAATCTATGATTACGTTTGGTCCTAGAGTTTGTGATGAAGATAGTCATCCAACGAACATATGTATGTAAAGTATCAAGTCCCCACTACAGCTATCAAGTCAGCGTTTCACAATTTTATTGTTTTCCTTTCTGTCAGGACGAAAATACATGGCAATCACACCCATGCTGAGTTCAGAGTAACTGTATCCTTCCCATTAATGAAAATGTATTCTCGTTGTGTTATGGCGAGAAAAACAAGATACAACCATAAAGATTGTTGAAACACCACTGAAACAAAATTAGGAACGGAGCCCAAGGAATTCTTAAGTTCCAAGTATTAGCTACATACTGCAGGAGTTTTGTATAAGTAAGAATTAAAAAGTAAATTGCAGGAAAAAAGTTTTGGCAAAGGCATACTAGATCTGCAAGATTAATGATATAGAAGAAGCTAGAAAATATTTGACACATATATTGTAAGCACAGAAACATACAGAAAACGGAGAGTGCAGAACCAGAGAAAATAATCCCTAAATTCACAGCAGAGACAAAAGTGAATAAACCCACTAAAGTTATTTACATTTGATCCAACTGTAGAAGGTAACAAAGTGTAAGATGAAAAACAAACCCCAGTTCAAAATCATGTAAATTGAAGAACTCACCATGGTGTGACGAACTTCCCTGGTCGAAAGTACAAGTGGATGATTATGTTCTTTCACAAATCTTGTGACGAGCCATTTTCCTGATTTGTCAGACTTTATTCGAATCATAGCCTTACATCCTTCCCTTGTGCTAAGTCGTGGTTTCCTAACCTGCCCAAATTTACCTCGTATACTGACACAATAACCCTCTTTATTGCATCCAAGTCGCCGGGCAAGAATCCTCTTGTCAACTTCTGATCGGCGGCATGACATTACCCGCATAACAAATCCTACCCGCCTAGCATATTCATCGTAGAATAGCATGGCAGCATCTTCAGAGTCAAACTCCATGCCCTCTTGCGGTTGGAGAACTGAGTCTCCCTCTCGTGCAACCGACTCCCCTCCAGAATTCTCTACTGTTCTAACCATCTCATCCAAATTCACTGCCAAATAATGTCATGAAACACATTAAAATCTTCTTTTTTTTTTACCCAGGATTACTTCGCTACGCTGCCAAATAAAGAAAGGAAAGAAAAAAGAGTTTTATACAGTTGGGGAAAGAAAATGAAAAGAAAAAAGCGTACGAATAAAAGAAAGAGCAAAAAATTGAAAAATAAATTAACACATGAAAAAAATTTAAGTCCGTCTCCTCCCAAAAAATTCCATGTTTATCCCTCTTTACGAGAAAAATAGGAATTAAAAGTTTCAAGAACAATTCTCATTTTTCAAGAAAAGTTTCCATTCCTCACAGTATTCACCACAATTTATGGATGAGAAATCATCCATTTTTTAATTTATTTTCTTTTCCTCACTAAAATCTAACATCTAAGAGCATCTCTGACAGATGATTTAAAAAACACAAAATTTTTAAATTTTAATTATTTAACCCAAAAAATTTATTCCAACATATTATCTTCAAAACATTTAAAATAATATTTTTTTTATAGTGATACTCTATATTTAAAGTATCATCGTAACGATATGTAAAAAAAATTTGTAATATTTTCTCTCTTCTCCTCTCCATTCTACCATTATCTCTCTTTCTCCTTGTTACTATTCCCAAAAAAAAAATAATACAAAAGGATTGAAAAATAATATTTAAAAGGAGTATTTAAAAATATAGAAAATCTGTTCAAGTGTGTATTGAAAAGATAAGTAGTTAAAATATAAAATATTATTTTTTGAGTAAATAAAATAGCTTTTATTGTTGGAGATGCTCTAAGAGCTACTCCAACCCATCTCAGCAAAATAGTTAGTCAAAATATATTTAAATATTATATTTTCTACTTTAATTAGTCACTTTTTCAAATTCACTTCAACCACTCTCTATTTTAGCTAACTACTTCAATTAATTGAAATATAATTCAAAAATATCACGTAGCCTAACACTTAAGCGTCATAATGATGATGGGCATGATGACGTGTCGTGTCACATTATCAAAATTTTAAATTTTACAACTGTCATATTTTTTAAAATGTATAAATAGGATCTCTCCTTTCTCATTGTCATATATCGCAAATTTATTTTACTGGCATTGCACTCATACATTTTTTCTTTGCTATGGCTTGTGATGATAAATTAAAGATGATTATGACTCCAATGATGAGTTGGAGATGTTGGCGGTTGTTACTATGGCAATGGAGAAACTCAATACCCAGAATAGCTTCACAATACGTCGTGGTTCTATTTAAGACAATTCTATTATTTTTCGCAATGGAGTTGATGGCATTAGAGACATTATCATAATTATTTTGTTGAATCCCCTACCTATCACCAAAATTTATTTCAGATGAGGTTTTAAATGAATCGATCTTTTTTCATTCGTTTTCTACCCATGATAAAAGCTTATGATTCATACTTTGTCCAAAAAAGGGATGCTTTTGAGAATATTAGTTTGTCTCCCTTTCAAAAGATGATTGCCGCTATAAGAATGTTTGTCAATGGAATTGCAACAGATGTTGTTAATGATTATGTGAGGATCGACGAAAGTACCGCAATAGAAAGTCTGCAAAGATTTGTATTGGCCATAGTAGCAATTTATTCTGATGAGTACCTCAAGTCACCAAAAAGCGCAGACATTACTAGATTATTGACAATCGATGAGAAACGTGGGTTTCTAGGATGCTAGGTAGCATTGACTGTATGCATTAGAGATGGAAGAATTGTCCAATAGTATGGAAAGGTATGTATTCTAGTCACGTCAATGAACCAACAATTATTTTAGAGACGGTGACTTCATACGATCTATAGATTTGACATGTCTTTTTTGGGTTATCTAGATCCCACAACGATATCAATGTGCTAGAACGCTATTTTGTTTTTACTCTTCTTTCGGAAGGTAGGGCTCCTCCGATCAATTACTCTATCAATGAAAACAATTATACTATGAGATATTATCTTGCTTATGGTATATATCCAAAGTGGGCCACATTTATCAAAACAATTTCATCTCTAAGAGGTAATAAGCAAATACATTTTGCACAAACTAAAGAGTTAATCAAAAATGATGTTGAGAGAGCTTTTGGAGCAACGTTATCAGAATCGGACTGGCCATTGAACCGACAAGGGGACCAGGTCAATGGTTTATTGGTTCAACCGTTAGATCAACTAGTCGGACCGATCATATAATAAAAAAATAAAAATATATATTTAATAATTATAAAACATAAAAATTTAACTAAAAAATATAAAATATTTTATGCAATACCTCTGCAAAATATACAACACCACCATTCGCATATTCAACACATGTGCAAAATATCAATCACCTTCATTCACCAACTAGGGCCCAATATATGAATAGAAAAATAAAATATGTAGAGTCATCCACCATATTCGAAAGTGGGCAATGTATGTGTGATAGAGAGAAAGAGACTGATCGAGTGAGAGAGACTAACCGTCTGAGTTGTAGGTGGCTGACCACTGAGCTGAACGCAATTGATTTAGGGCAAAGAGTAGTCGCCTGAGTGACGAAGAGTAGCAATGAGACGAAGAGCAGCCGCTTGAGGTCACCTAAGCACTGATTGTTGCCTCCTTAGTGAGACGAAGAACACTGGTCTTCCTCACTCCTTGTTCTCTGTCTTATGTGATTCAGGGAAAAATAAAAATAGCCCAAATTAAAAACAGCAGCCAGCAAGTTCAAATTTCATTTTCTTCAAATCGGTCCAGTTTTTAAAAATTGTCTGGTTTACGGTTTTCTTCAAAAATCGTTCGGTTTAATGATTTTTACCCGGTTCTATTTTTTATGCGGTTTAACTAGTCAACCGGACCGGTTGGAGTCCTGGGTCACGGTTGAACTGATCCGACCAATCAGTCCGGTCTAGTTCTGATAACACTATTTTAGAGTACTCTAAGCACGATTTGCTATAATTTGTGGACCAACACATTTATGAAAACTTGAAGTGCTTAAGGATATTATGAAGACATACATAATATTGCATAATATGATTGTCGAAGATGAGAGAGACGGTAATGAGATAGACTTTAGTTATAATGCATTGGATGAAATTCCTACTCCTACATTGATATCCGAATGGAATTCAGAACTGCTCCAATTTATTCATACTCAACATCGCATTAGAGATAGAGAAACTCATTCGAGACTTCAAACTGATCTAGTCGAGTACCTATAGAATATGCATGGAATGTTTTAGGCACTAATATGCTACGAATTTTCTACAAATATTTAAGCATTCATTGTCTACACATATTTAAGCATGCATAATATTACAGTACTTGTTTGTTGTACTACCACTCAAAAGTTGTTAGTCTCTAAATAAGAAAGAAATACATTTTCTTTCCCATGATTTTCATCTGGCGGCGCTTAAAATATTCAGCTTGAATCGGAGGCATGCCACTTGTGTCCATCAACATTATTCTCTCTTCCTCCTTCAATTGCTTGACTTGTATCTTCTCTTCATCATGAGCTAGCCATTTTGGTGGTGGCTTCTATTTGAGGTGAAATTGGTGAAGAATGATCTATTTGGTCTACTGACTCATTATTAAACTCATCTAAGTTTGTTTAGTCGTTCAAGAGATTGATGAAGTAATATCCATGTTCAAATAGTTTTATACGTAATACCTAGTATTCAACCCAAAACATACATTATTCATGTAATTCAACCCAAAGTATACTATAACAATAGTTCTAATCAAATTTCAAATAATATAATTTAATAGCAATTTAACACCCCCATCCAATTTAAATAACAAAAATCAATTGATAACAGCAATTCGCCATACATTGTATAAATTTAACCAAAAATCAATAGCAGATTAACCACTTATTAAAATCAATACCATTTTGACCACCTATTTAACCAAAAATCAATAACAATATAACCACAAATCTATACTTAATTTAACCAAAAATTAATAACAATTTAACCACAAATCAATACTAATTTAACCACAATTCACCCAAATATTAATAAATCAATAGAGATGGGTTTTCGACAATGGGTGGGGGGAAGTGGGGGTGGGTTTTGGCAACAAATTAGTGGAAAAATGGAGGGCGTTTCAGAAGCAAAATAGTGGGGAGGAGGAGGATGGTTTCGGCAACAAAAAAAATTTCAGTAGCAGCATTCAACAACAACAAGGGGCAGAGGAGGAGATGAATACTTGGTTATTCATAGTTGAAAAAGTTCAAAAGCCAGAAGCAACAAGGAGTAGCGAGCAAATTTGGCCTCGCCAGATTTGGTGAGCATGAAGACCTCCTAAATTTTGGTGAGGATGATGGCTAGTGGGTTGGAGCTGATTTTTGGAGTGAAGCTCGCCAAATTAGCTAAAAAATGGAGAATAACTAGTGGGTTGGAAATACTCTAAAGGAAACCTGCATGTTTCTGAAGTGAGCTGCTCAAAGAACTATTTTTTAGTTATTTATTATTACTCTTTTGATGTATGGCAACAGAAGCAACTAAATTTTGAATTTCTAAATTTTAATTTGTTTGAAAAAGGTAACCTTCCCAAATTTTCATGTCTAAATGAAGTTTCAGAGTTGGTAACATTCCTATAAGATATTTGGGTGTTCCAATCATCACTACCAAACTCAAGAGTCAAGAGAACAGATATTCAAAACTTTATAGGTAGAATATTTGAAAGGGTTAGAATTAGAATAGTAAAGCCTTATTCTGTATAGGAAGGATTCAACTAAAAAAGGCAGTCATCTTTATCATTCAGATTCTTGATCTAGTTTATTTTTTCTCGATAAGAAATGAAGATTTCAGTAAAATAAAAGAAAAAAGTGTTACAAAAACCAAACAAAGGTGGACAAGTCATCCAACCTAAAAATGGGTAACAAACAAAGCCATGAAAAGCACAAAAAGTAGGACATTAAAGATTAAATTACAATCCACTTGAAATTATCCAGCTAGTTGTAATATTAATTAGAGGAATATTCTCAAAATTCCTTTGACACGAATGCCCAATG